AGATAGATACTTTATTTATCCCAGGGGAAATTCAAGTCAATTGAAGTAAATTCATCTGCATGTATAACAACATAAAAAATACAGTAAAGTGTAAAAGACAGAACACAGACATGCCTTTTGAGACTTGGATCAGGCAACAAAACTGCAAACATTTCAACCTCCTACCAAAACAATGTCTACAGTACTCTCTGATGTCTGAGTGAGCAATAAGATTTATTACCGATAGAAGTTTTTCTGCAGTTGGCCTCTTCTTCGGGTTCTTTGTCAGAGACACTTTCACAAAGTTATGGAAAGCAGTGGACCTGGTGTACAAGATGATTTGTTTTTTGCATTAAAACATTCGATCAGCACTATTATCCTCTAAAACCAAAGTATAAAGTATAACATAATCCCAGAATAGCACACTAAATATTGTGGGGCATTCACCATTTGTTTTTGTCTTTTAGCTTCGGAGGCTGGAAGCTGCTCTTCGACATCAAAAACAAAGCCCTAAGGAAAAACAAAAAACACTGATTGAGAATGGTTTAGACAGACTTAAAGAGGGAAATTTACTCAAGTGAAGTGACCATGAAATGAAAAGGGGCTGCAACTTCTTTGAAGTAAACAGGATGGCCATTCAAGTTCTCAAAACACATGTTGAAACATTAGAGGAACACAAAAGCAGAAAGTAGCTGAAGAATCATCAGAGGAAGCTCAGACTGATCATTTCTGAGAAAATAAAATACATACCTCATTGGGTGTAGGTCAAACATTGGCGGCTGTAGCTCAGCTAGTTCTATGGATGTGATGCCAACAGCCCAGATATCACACAACTGGTTGTAGCCACCATTCTTTTCAACTGCTGCTACTTCTGGAGCCATCCTGCACAAACAGAACAAGAAATCAGTGATGACTGTAGTGAGAGGACTTCCTGAGGTAAAAAAACAGTACTGATACTGGTAATGAGATTAGAAATGTAAATTATTTTCGGTCAAATAAATAAAACCGTGGTTCTTCAAAGACAATTAGGGCTCCTTGAAGTGGAGGTGCATTTAGAAGTTAGGGTCAGTGACAGAACAGCAGCCCTGGAGCCGGTAAGGATTTAGTGTCTCAAAAAGTCAGAAACGGTTCAGCTGCTGTGAAGTGACGCATCTATCAACCACTTGTACACCTCGTTATCACCGCAAACTAGATTCTGTTAGATAACATATGGTGATACAGATGGTTGACTAGAAAATGTCTGACTGAAAGTATTTAAAGGACCCATGCATAGCATTTAGTGGCATCTAGCAGTGATGTTACAGATTACGACGATCAGAATACAGCTCAGCCTTCAAAGTCTGCAAAAAACACTCAAGAACTCCAGGAAAAGAAAATCAAACTATTCTTGAAACTATTCAACAAAGACTGCCACAGAATGGCTCATTCGATGCGGGTGTCACACTCACCAATAAGGTGTTCCAATGAAGGACTTTCTTTTGGCAATGGTGGCTGTTATTTTGGCTGCAACTCCAAAGTCAGCTGTAACAGGGATTGACAGGGCTTTTCAGATTATGTAACATACGACTGAAAGCTAGAGAGGAGTTCAAGTCCTTGAGAATTAAGATGTTATAGAGCAACTTACCTAACTTCACATCTCCGTTGTCTGTAAGAAGTATGTTGGCACCCTGTTTTAAAAAAAAAATTATACTTATTTATTTTTTACTTTAAAATACATTCAAGAGACCGTAGTTATATTTAAATATCATGTGACCAAGACTTAAACTACTGAGGTGAGCTGATGTGTTACAAAACTGGTTCATAAAGTGTCAAGCATGTGTTTAACTTTGTCAGTAACATGTGGTCTCGTTAAAGCATTAACTGCTAGTTTGTTACCGATCTGACTGTCAGTAAAGTTGCACCATTATCACAGTTTTCTGTTGGCTGTGACTGACAGTCTCGTACCATCCTGTGGTGAGAGTAGAGGAAACAGGAAGTGCTTGCTGCGTAGAACTGAGTAAAGATAATAGGTCTAGCCCTGACCTTCTCTGATAACACATGAGACCAAGGCTCCCGCCTGTGTGTATGCACCAGGCACGATCAACTTCAGCTCAACCTCAAAACCACTGTAAGTAACACCATTTGTCACATGTTTTGCAGTGAACACACCCACCGCTACGTTTTTCCTGACTTCATTTCACACCTCTGCAGTGCTGATGCATGAGAATGATTCCCCCCAACATGGCCACAATATCAATATATGCCTCTCCGCTGTATTTTTTAGAAACACTATTAGTGATAGTGGTTTTCAAATTAGGTGCTTATTTCACATAATAAATATGTCAGTTTAGTTTAAACAGAGAGAGAAAGAGTTGAACAATGTATTTCTGGTGTGAACAACCAGGCTCCTGTGTTAATGTTTTAAAATGTGTTGCTTAAAGATTTGATTGTTAATCTGTTTGCTTTTGCATGATGCAAAGTGTCTGTGTATGGCACATAAGAATGGGTCTGACCTGGATAAAAGCCCAAAAGAGAACAAAAACAAAAGAGAAAAGATATGATACCTTGATGTCACGGTGCATCTTGCCCTTGATGTGCAGATATCCCAAACCCTGTAAAGGAAATTAATGCATTTTGTAATGAATTCAGTTGAAAATGACAAACTCTGAGATATTCATTCCAAATTGAGTTAAAATGTAAAATTACCTGTAAGGTCTCTCTGCAGACATACGCTATCTGGAGCTCTGAGAGAGGTCCCGTCACTATAACAACACAATTTTATTCCATGTTTGCAAGGTAAGGATTAAGGCAGAAATGGATTTGACATGGTATGAACAGTATTTAAAAGCATTTAGTGGTTGTATCCTACCAGTTATGAAGAAGAGAAAAGCTCACCATGATAAATGTCCTGCAGAGATCCTCCGCCACAGTACTCCATACATATCCAAAGCTTCTCCCGACTGATGGAGTCAGAGGAAGTTATTAAGTTAGGAAAACATAATTAAGCAGCACAAGAATTCTACAAAGCTGTCTTGTATAAGTTAAGTTGTACAAATCAGCAATCCTTCTGGAAACAACTTTACCAACACATGTTAATAAACAGGGTTAAAAACTTGGTGAAAAGAGTTAGTGTTTCTGTAGTTAGGCGAACTAGAAGTCAGAACGAGAGAGGGGAGCAGAAAAATGATGTCAACTCACTGAAAATAGCTAAAAATAAGACTGTGTGACTGTGATCAAACTGTGACACTTGGCCGGCAGAGGTGTTGATACTGTTCACTGCCCCAGAATCTCAATCACAACTGTGATACTTTTCACACATTTTAGCTGGACATGGAAATGTTTTAGGTCAGGAAACGAGTCTGACAGGAAACTCGATCTTCCCCAAATAAAAATGTGGGGCTTCTAATACAATGAATCTAGTTTAATAATAATTAATGCACGGTGTGTTGCTCATTAAGATTTTACAGTAACCATTTGTGCTCTGTGTGGCGAGACATGCCTGCTGCGATAAGACATGCATCTCTATGGACTAACAGCCATATAAAAGCAGATCAGAGGCTCATACTCCAGTTAAACCTGCTGGAAGTCAGAGGCAGTGGTGGGTGGACCGGCCCTACTTCCTCTCAGATACCAGCCGCAAAATACAGGCTCCATTAAAACATGAGAGCCGCATCCTGGCACTTAAGGGCCTAGTCAGCACCAGTCAGCCCAGTTGCAGTGCTTGAGTCATACTTTCACACACAGGTGTGACTCAGTAATTAAATACGTCATGTGAGTTTCAGGCAGCGGCTCGTTAAATCCTTTTGACAGTAGCATATGAATTCCACAAATGCTATACTGGCTGTGAGAGAGAAAATACTGAGTGTAAAATGACAAAGCAGGAGTATTTTAAGCTGGCTCTTACCAGAGGTAGCTCCCAAAGTAGGCCACAATATTGTGGTGCATGCATTCCTTCACCATGAAGATTTCCTGCTGTATGATGGAAAAGTCATCCCCTGGAAACCGAGAGAGAAATCACACATGGACAAAAAATTATATTTTCATTTTCTGTACAGGGATTTGTTTCATTTTAAAATGAGATATTTTCCATTTGGATATAAACACCTCACAAAATGATTACGAGCATGAAATTCCTACAACATTTGGGTTATGATTCATCTGCAAAATAAACAAAAAATATATGTTTTTGACACAAGAACAAACCTTGAATTTGGAAAGTTGACAAAAATAACCATTCAAAGCATTTGGGTTGTGCACGCCTTAAACTTTAGGTTTTAGAACTTAAATCTTTCCTTTTAGTTTGCCAAACTCCGAACCACAGAACAGTCTTCCCATATTTCCCTCTGGCTATATGGTTCAATATTCCTTCTCTGTGTAAACACAACACATTATAAAACAGCCAATAACAATAGAAGGAACACCTTGTACTTCTAAAGTTTATGTGGTATAGGCTGATATCCAGGCTGCTTTTCAGTTCAGCAAAGCACTCTAACACATCCGACCAGTAGGAAGTAAGAAGACAAAAATATGTAAGCCCAGCTGCTCCCAATTGTGCAGAGACACGGCCCTGGAATACATTAACAGGAGGTTAAGATCTACCAGACTCTGCCAGCTTCAGCGCTCTATCAACAGACTGTCATCAAAGGCAGCAGTCCAGACTAAGCTCATTTAACGGATACAATCGCTCCCCTAACTAAACTGCACATTAGTTATGGTGGTTACAAACCACTACAAAAAAATTCTGCACACAATCAAGTGTGTCAATTCAGCTCACCTATGTATGTAAATAAGCATATTTTGATGGTTTATTTCTGTTCTAAAAATCAGTGTCTAGCAAATATTTGAAATTACTAGCAGCTGTGGTATTGAAGACAATACGTTCTTAACCTGCACTTTACTACAATACAGACAGACACTGTACCAGGTGGCTTGTGGTCTAGCCTGATTAAAGTGATACAGGGGCACATGATCTGTGGCATAAGAACACGATAAAATGAGAAAACTTGTGGACCACAGACGCTTTTTTTGAGCACATAAACAATTTGTACCCAATGAGGTAACTGCAGTACGGCAGCGGAGGAGTTAGGCTCTCACGTGAGCGTCTGAATTAAAGTCTTGTTGGAATGCCAACACGTGCATGACTATCCCGCTGATAAACAACAAACCAGTGAATTTCCATTAGCTTGGAACTTAACTGCAGCGATTCATTTGAGTATTTAGTGACGTAAGAAGACTTAAGCTAATGTGAGATGTCTAAACTACAAAAAAGAACAACAACTATGTACCTACATCCCCTGTGACTGTGAAGTGTTTGGTTTGCCTTTTGTCCCTCTGACAAAACTTGATCAATCGTGATGAGGAGATGAAGGCCTGATTCTCTTTTGTCATTCCTCGGTTCCATAAACCTCCACTGTTGTCCAAAAATAGATCAGTGATGTGTTGCTTCCTTACGACGAACAGGAACTCTAGTTTATTTTGAGTTAATCTCATATATGCCGTCCTGCTGCTCTAAATACTCACTAGTCACAAAAGGCATCAAAGGTGCATTAATCCACAGCTCAAAATAGTCACCAACTAATGCAATGTTTACGATTTCTAAAAACTAGTGTCTAGCTAGTTTTAGGAAATTACTGAGCCTTTTTTTAAACAAAATTATATAGCTGTTACTTTTTAGATTTACGTCTTCAGTAGGAACCAGTGGGCTTGTGGTTGAGTGCAACAGACACAGTAGAGAAGTCAGAAAGTATTCAGAGACACACCAACACATGGTTGATTTTGGTATTTTCATGGGATTTGTTGACAATAACAAAAACACAGAATATGACCAACCTTGTCCGTTAATCTAGGGGACGAGGCATGTCACAAAATATTTTTTAAGCTTTTTACATAGCTGAGATGTGAATGTGCAAAACGAAGTAAACGTCACCAGTGGGAGAATGTATTATTAACCTGCATTGTACTGTATTTGGAAATTGTGAGTGGAGTTTACATCCAACTGGTTTTTCTGTCTGCGCTCACGAGGCAGATAAACAAAAAAAAAAAAACATCTTCAGAGACATCCTTGTCAGTGTAGCTGCTGTTGGATGTTAGTGCTTCCTTTTGTGAGTTTTGGGAAGGTGAAAAAGCTGGATGAAAGCCCTGTACTATAACATTCACACATCCTACTGTAAACATATCCCTGAATTTCCTACAGAACAGAATAGTACAAAACTTTTTTGTGTTTTTATATATTGGCCATCGGCAGCCCTGCTCTCTAAATATCAGCACTGGCCACTGAAAAACCAATACGGGTTGTGATTTATTCCTACTAGCTAGCTACAATGTCAATTTCTTTTTATTATTCTTGTTACAAATACTTGTGGAAGTCTGTAACAAGAATAAATCCCTTCTAGCTGTAAAAAAAAATCTGTAAAAATCTTGTTTATTGTTTTAATGTGACATAATAAGGATGTAATGGATATCTCAGTCTCACAGAAGATGACGAATGTCCACCGTCTTATAGTCACACTTTTGGGAGTTCATTATTTATCTTACTAGTTCTTATTACTGCATCTGTAATTATAGTGTAATTTAATTTAGTGCCATTTTCACACTGTTGATCACAAACATTCTGAAATATATCTGTTTACAGACAGCAAATGGTGCGAGAAGCCACAAAAATCTGACCAAGGGTAATTTCAGTGACATAACTTTGAGCTTGGTCAAAAAATAAAAAAACATAACAAGAAAGCCTTCTCTTCTTGGTGAGTTGAGGCCAAAGAGTATAGCCACTTCCTCTCAGACCAAGCGCTTCCCCCTGCTCTCTGAATATACGTATATGTAAAGTTTCAATTCAGTGTCACCTTTACACCTCTGAAGAAAATAAGTTTATCTTTAACCTAAAAATGAAACATCTGAGGAGATTGGAAAGCTTTTAAAAGAAGTTCCTGCTTTGTTCTGATCTTATAGAAAAGAAATGTAACAGCACGCAGAGATGGGAGACGTTCCACACCCAAATGGCTTGCAGCAGAATTTACAATGAAAACTGCCAGGAGGCTGGAGGCCACTCAGGAAGAGTAACAACAAAACAAAGAAAACTGATAATCACAACAAGAAAAGAGCTATAGTGAGATGTAGTAATGGTGTTTAAAAGAACTGCATACTAAAACGTTTCACACTACAAGAGAAAAAGAGGAAACCAGAAAAATTTCCTCTTTTCTACATATTCTGTCAATGGTCAGTGAATGAAGACAGACACTCGTTTGGTCTTCAATAGTCATTTACCACCCGACTTATCAGATTAACCTGCTCTGTACTCTACAACCCCTGCTCCCAGAGGGCTTCACCACTCCTATCTCCTTTCTCTCTCCGTGTCCCTTACTTCATACCTGCGTCACTCCTCCTGGTCAAACCTGTTTGGTCCACCCAAAGCTGTTTACCTCAAGCACAGAAAGGACTTTTTTTTTGCTCTTGCAAAAGTAGGGGTAAAGAAAATAGAGTCCTGCTTAAACAGGACAACCTGGGCTGGGTTAATCCTCATTTAATCTAAAAAAAAAAAGGAAGAAAAAACAAAAATGAATAGAGCAAATATGAATGTGTTTAAAGATGCTTATGGGAAAACCTGCCCAGGGCTACGCAACAGGAATACAGATCTAAGAAAAACCTTCCTGTAAAACTGTAACACTGATTTAACCCTTAGCTGTACACTAGGCCCATTTTCATAGTAAATCTGTGAAGTATTTATCTTTCCCAGTTTGCACAAACAGGATTTACTAACAATGCACTACTAACTGTTAACTAAAGTTACTTTTCAATCAAAAAAGCCAAAAATGTTTGTGCACGTTCTTCATTGTGAGGGGTATGCTGCCTTTCTCCGTTTTTCTTGTCATTCTAAATTTAATATCTTTGAGTTTTGGGTCATTGTTCAGACAAAATAAAACATTTAAAGGGTCAAGACATCATCTTGGGTTCTGAGAAAAACTGTGAGGGCATTTTACATTTTATAGGCCAACCAACTCAATCAGCAAATTAATCGATAATGAAAATAATTGTAATTTGCAGCCTTGGAGTGCAATTTACTTTTTCTATTCTTAAAGTCAACGCAGAAAATGTTCCTTTTCTTCTTCTTTCCTTCTTCTTCCAACTTTACAGTAAGCCTCTTGGATCCTCTGCTTCTCTCTCTACCACCCCACCCACACACACACAGACACACACACAACACCCTAATCCCGCCCAATCTCCTATATTCCAGCAAAGAATTGTCATTCTTAATACAAGCTCAAGCATCTACGACTTCTCAGGTAAATACTAAAAAAAAACATTTTGGGCAACATATTTAAAATTAAGTCAAATATTCGAACAAATGCTGTGTGTAAAATTTCAGTGACATGTGGTGAAAGAGAAAACAACATTATGAATCTCTTCCTTCACTGACTGGTAATCAGCTGAGCTCAGTCTGGTTGCTGGTGGTATAAAGCCTCATCGTAATCCCACTAATCTGGATCGCACTCCTCTGTCAGTAGGTCATCACCAGCACAGACCCCAGAGTCGGGCGCAGTCAAAAATGTCCTCCTGTCCCTCTTCACAAAAACATTTCATGTCACATCGCTCATTATACGGCAACAACAAATGTTTCTTTTACAGAATGATGTACCTTTTCCAGACTTGTTTAGATTTTCTCATGTAAAACTACACTGGGTCTATGAGCACATAAATATTTGCAGTCATGAGTATTGGCACTGTACAACATTTTTTTTTTTTTTTTTTAGTACTTTGTGTTCAAAACCTTGGAAAATACCAGACGCATTTTCCAGACTTCTTATTTTTCAGTTCTGACAAAAACCCAAACAACAGCATATTTCTTCTTCGCTATGATGAGAAAAACGGAGATAATGAGACGATCACTCTTACCTGGTTCCAATTTTATGATCTTCACAGCAGCGAGCTCCCCAGTTTGTATGTTTCGAGCCTGAAAAACACAACAGCACAACTGTCAGCAAGGCTACAAATACCAAGTTTGATTAGTCGAGCTACAGAACAATATAAGTACATTTTCCATCATCCAGTTCCAGTTACTCAACTGTGAGGTTTGACTACTTTTGTTTCTTATGATAGTAAATTGAACAGTTTTAGGTCTGTTGGTTGGACAAAACAAGACATTTGGACGACATCACTGTGGGGTTTTAGCGAAACGTAATGGACAATTTTCACTGTTTTTCTGATATGTTAAAGACTAAATGATTAAAGTTCAAGTTGGTCAGACAAAACAGCAAATTTACTGATGTTATCTTGTGGTTTTGGAACATGTGATTGCTGTTTTTCCACTACTTTCTGTTTCATTTTTATAGGATGTTAGTTACAGTGTTGACCTCCGTAAACATGAAACTAATGAATCTCATTTTGATGATCCTTTCGCCTTTGTGAGAAGTGGAGTGAAAAACAACTGTGGGGTACAAATGGCAGCACTTCCATCACACAAAGTCAACAACATTACATTCTCAAGTCATGCTAAACCGATGAGTTACGGCTGCTATGTTTTTATAATAGACCAACTAAAATCAAACCTTGAGTCTGCTTAAACAAGCGTCATCACCAGAGGTCATCGGGCCAACCCGTGGGTATTGTTAGTCAGCAGGGCGAAGCTGGACACGGTCTGGCTACAACTATGACAGTAAACCTTTAAATATCCCTGCTGTGGATGAGTTGTGATTTAGTCAATCTTAGAGTTGCGTAATGTTGTTCATTCTTGAAATTCTTTCTTCTCGCTGCTGTATATGTATTTGTGCAGTACCATCTCCATAGTGTGATATTTTGTTATCTCAACCGTTCCATCTCAATGGCATTAGATTTAAAAACATATCCCTTCATCGTTTGTGAAATTTCTATCTTAAAGTAGGTTGCGCTGACTTCCTAATCGAGGTCAAGACGGGATGCTCCCTAATCCGTGGGAGTGAAGTGATGGGACGAGCAGCTCAATCAACCGTAAACCATAAAACCCTCCAGCATGGCCAGCTTTCAACACACAAACAGTACACCGCACAAAGCTTAAACTTGTTCTGCAGCCGATACCTCGCGTGCATACACGCAAACACATTACAAAAAAACTACTTTACGAAAACATATTTCTCATGGGAGAGTTGTTCCGCTGTGTGTGTGCGGTACTATGGCACATTTATTCAGCTTTCAATGGTAGAAGTCAGTGACTCTCCTGCTAGTATGTTTAAATATTGACAAAATACTTACAACCTGTATCTAGCTTTACACTTCCTGAAGTGGTTAAAATCAACCTGAGAACTAAACACAGAAAGGGGAAGTTCTGAACTGACTCTTCAAATATGTAATGCAGCCGAGGACACAACTTTAACAACCTGAAACAAACTTTGACTAAAGGAAGGTCTGACATGACCTCTAAAGAGAGTAGGAATGATTGTATGACGATGTCAGACTGAGGTTAAAACATGTAGATCCAACATTCAGCTAACTGTAGTGAGACTGAAGACACGGACTCTGCAAAACAACAAAAAAAAGCAAGAGAATGTTTCTTTACATCCTCTTTTAACAACAAGTAAGTTCTTGCACGCTATAACAGCCTTAATGAGGAATGTAGGATCAAAAAACAATCTTAATCCTGCAGATACTATTTGTGGTATTTCATTTGCTCATGAAAAGAAAAACAACATTTTCCTGGTACAAATAATAAGAGTAAGATTCTAGTACATAATGTGTTGTAAACCAATAAAAAGTACTGATTCTAAAAATAATCCCACCATATAAAAGGGATATTATAACAATAAACTATGCTTAGAGCCAAGGGTATGACATAATAATGAGGATTGATGTATCATTATCAGCAGTAATAATAAAGAGAAAGAATATCTGACTCACATTAATTTAATCAGAAGTAATAAATCAATCATCCAAAGCGAGGAATGCTGCGGCCATTAAACTTTAACTGAGCACAGCAGGCCAAAAGGAGGACTTTTCCCCAATTTGAGGTGTTTCCGCTGTCAGTGCGGCCCTGAACACACCCATAGTGAGACGCATGTTTAGACAGGGGCCCGATCATATTTCAACCCGCTGCAGCGCTGCAGCCTGCGAGCTGTGGGAGAATACCAGGCGCAGCATTCCACCAGTGGCCTGTCTGGGGGTGGGGGCTGCCACACAGGCTTTGTATGGAGAGGGACCATGACGGGCTGCCTGGACTATCACACCCTGGATCAGATGGGTCGTCTGTTTGTCTGTGGCAGATGGATAAACAAGAAACTTCTGCAGCACCTCTGTAGCCAACAGACAGTAGGAACAATCTGGATGGGTTATTTTGTTTAACTGTATAGACGGTGTTAAAAACAATGCAGGAGCACAGTGCCGTCTGTCTCTATGGTGAACGCCAATAAAGACTTTACAATCATTCCTAAAGTAAGTTTCTTCCAAAAACTGCATCCACTTGATGCTAATACAGCCATAAAGGGATAGTGTTCATTAGTCTGAATTACTCTTCACTCCTGGTTTCGGCGGTTCTCAGTCTGTTTGACCCTTGAACTACTGCAAAAGTGTCTGTCTGTCTGTGAAATGTCCCTTCATGCAAGTTATCTAAAAATAATTGTGTGAAACCGTAAGGGCCTCTTAAAGACAGCTAGAATATATAATGCATGAATATAGACAGACGTCGAGCATAGATATCAAAAGGACAATTTGTAGACTTTAAGATTATTTACAAGGTTCAGTAGAAGTGATTCAACTCAACAACTGAGAGTAAGTCTATATGTAACTACTGCTGATTTAACACGTGCTTTAATACTGCTGCTTTAGACCAGGTATGGGTGACAAAGGCTCCACTGCAAAGAGAAAAAGTAAAGTGCATAAAATGAACAAGCAGGTACAAGCATTCACTGTTCACTGAGGCCGAACAGTCAAACGTGTTGAGGAAATTGTTTCAGCTCAACGTAAAGCAGCAGGCAACAGGAAACGAAGAGAACGAGTTACATAAATGCAACCAAAATAAAAAAACAGCAATGCTCATTGATTCTTTAGTTTAGTTTATAAAACCGCAGTCACAAAAACAGTTTCCTATAAGAGCGAGTGGCATCTTCTCGCATCTGAGGCACGCTGCAGCTTTTTCTCTGCATCTGCTAATCCATTAATCAACACGTTGTATTGCTGCAGCTAAACAATACGAGTATTGTGTTAAATCTCACAGTTTATATATAATCCGGCTTGTTTAACAGTAGTTTAAGTTGTGAAGTTCTGGCTGATTAAGTGTTATTTCTGCCAATATGGATGCAGGACTTGGCCCTCGCTCAGCAGCTACTGTCTAAAATGTGCTCGCCACATGTTACGATGACTCCCAAATCAGAACTACACTCTGCCTTTAAATCAGGACGACGGATCGATTAGTCGCGTGGTGGAAAGCCAAGATATCTCCAGCTGTGGTGACGAGCTGTGGGAACCAGCGACCCCACCGTACCTTGTACACGTCTCCGTACGTGCCACTTCCCACCCTCTGAATGAGCTCAAAGTCATGCTGAGGGTTCCTCCTCTGGATTTCGCCGCTCGGCCGGGGAAAGATATCCATGGTAGCTCGAACCGAACGATCCTTTACATTTAGTTGGCTCGATCAAATCTGACGGCGGTGGTTTGGCGAAGCAGAGGTCCTGAATACAGTCACTGTTACTCAGACGATCCTTCTCCGTGCTCCATGTCCTGACAGAGACAGAGACAGAGACGTTAGTTAGGTTTGGAGGAACTGAATCACCTAAAATTAAAAAACGTTAAAGTGCTTTTAAAAAAAGCGGGCGAACAGATGAGGACATTCATATTTTGGTACATGTTCACATCACATCCAGGCTTGGGGAGTAACAGGTTACATGTAACTGATTTTACTATATTAGGATACAAAAAACTGTGATAAAAAAAGGTTTAATCAGATTACAGTTACATTCAGTTAGGATTTGGATTATTAGCAGGATTACAATCACTTATTCTTTAAAAAAAAACATATTTTAGATGCTAAAATGCTAAAAAAAAATAGAATAAAATCAACTTAACACTGAACACAACTTATTGTACATTTTTCTACTCTTCTCATTACTTTGCATTTTGTGTTGTTGAGGTAATCAAAAAGCAAATCAACTGGATGACTGACTACAATTACCAACAGGTCATTAGTAACTGTAACGGATCACGCTTTAAAACAGCCCATTTAAAAACCAAAGTTTACTCAGTCCCCATACTGCAGCACTGAAACAACACTGTGGTCACTCCAGCAAATAGCCAGAGCCGAGTTAAAGGGGGGGGGGGGCTTAGCATCCAGGCGGCTAACAGCTAACTCCACCAGTGCCTACCTTTTACCGTGCAAACACCGCGGATGTCTCGCATTTTAACGCTTTTCCAACACCGTTAACCGTGCGATGGCGTCGAATAATCTCTCACACACACACCCCCTTTAGCCCCCCAAAAAAAATTTAAAAATAAAAAATAAAAGGACAAGCCTTCCTCTCCTCCTCCTCCTCCTCCTCCTGCTTCTCCTCCTCCTCTTTGTTATCGAGGAAACAGTAATAAACTTCGGCTGGCTGTCGCCGTCCGCTCCGTCTCCTTCAGCGCTGCGGCGGCGCGGACGTTACAGTCGACTTCAACAAGAATTCCGGCGTTAAGTTTCAGCCCTTGACATGTCATCCCCCCCCCTCCTCTTTCTCTGTGCTGACAGTTGGTAGCGACGCTTCGGAGTCGGTGTGTGGATATATTAACGGTAAACTACGATAATAAGGTCAAGTATTACTCTTTATATTCATTCCCGTAAGAAAAAAAGCAACAGTGTGTTGCTAATCTGTCTCTCTCTCTCTGTGTGTTTGGAGAGTCGCAGATACAGGATCCTGTTGCTGCGTTCAGGGACTGCTCGGAAAATCTGACGTCTCAACAGAAAACAAAAAACAAAAAACAATACAGTGCGAAATGTCTAATAAACTGTTTTAATTGTGAAGTAATTACAACATAGAGCATATAATAACAGTTGTATTAATCGTTATACATCTAGAGAATTGCTTAATTCAGTTTATTTTTTTTTTAAACACAATCATTCAACCTCATCTGCTTATGCTATCTTTTCTACTTTTGCACTCTGCATGATGATAAGATGTAAAATGTACCTTTATGCTTATTCTCTTATTCTGTGTATGTACAGTGAGAGCAATGTAAACTGGCCAATAAGAGTGATTCTGATTGTGCATAATATTCAGTTATTGTAGGTTATTCCAGTGGTTCCCAACCTTTTTCCTTAAGGGACCATTTTTCTATCATTGAGTAAACTGACTTAGAGACATATTTTATGGATATTTCATATTATATTCAATGCATAACAATAACAACACAGAACAAAACTGATAAACTGTACAATAAACCCAAATAGTGAACACAGTAACTGCAGGAAGTTTGAGTAAAACAAGTGATTAGGATTAATTTGATCAGATTATTTCCTGGTTTTTTTACACAATTCTGTCTGTATTATAAGGGCTTTGTTTTTGTCTTCTCATTGATCTATTAGCTCTTTGGTTGTTTTACCTGCACACTTACATGCACAGGACAAGTTCAGTAGAGAGAGATGACTCTGTGAATATAACTTGTGTTCAGGTCTTCAGAGTTTATATGGTAAATAATTAACATTAAAAATAACAATGCGATTTTGTTTTCTACTCAGAAATGAATAAAATGCTAGCCCTCCTGTGTATATTTATTAAGGCGACCCCTGTGAAGCTTTGGCGACCCCTAGTGGAGGTCCCGAAACCCAGGTTGGGAACCACTGGGTTATTTTTACACATCAATTTGTTTGCATCATAAACTGCTTATAGTAGCAGTTTTGTGTTTCAGTCCATGAATTTCACAAGGAACAACAAACAATGTGACATCCCCAGTCCTTAGTGGGGGAAACCTGAGGAACTATGTTACTTTTTACTCCACTTCCTCTACATGAAAGCTACAGTTAGTAGTTACTTAATAGATACCCAGAATGACCAAATAAAAGATAACACATAGTTATATTAATAGCTACAATCAACCCCACCTAGGCCAGCGACAACATTAAAATGCTGCTTACATCCTAATCCTGTAATATAACTTGGACAGAGACTATTTTGCATGCAAAGTGGGATGTTCTACTGTACTTTTACTTAATTAAAATTGTGACTTTTATGCTGTATTTTTCTTATTTTTGCTAAACTATTCTACTTTTAAATCGATACAGCTCCATTGTGGTGGAGGAAGTACTCAGATCTTTTACTCTAGTCAAATACTACACTGTAAAATCATGCATTCAAAATCTAACTTGAGTAACAGCACATTAGTATTAATAGTTAAATTTACTTAGAAGTATCAAAAAAGTGCTAATTATGTACAACACTGTCCCCTGTGACAGTCTGGTGGTATATTAACAAATTGTGTATTTTTATTAGCATTTTTCTTGTACAGTGGGTTTAGGTGGAGCAAAATTACTTTAAATTATATTGGGTAGTTGTACAATATAAAGCTAAACTATAACAATGTATAGTATTTCATAATATACGTTTTGTATGATAATTCTTAATATTCAAAGTAACTATTAACTAAAATTGTAGCTGTGTAAAAAAAATCCCTAAAAAAGTAGTAGAGTTAGAAGTACAAAGCAGAATAAAATGAACATAGTCAAGAAACTACAAAAAGTACTTCCAGAGGTGGAAGTACTTTTTTACTTGAACTGAACCATTGCTGTACGGATATTTACGATGGTCCCCGAAGGCAGCATCTGTTCCAATGTCTTTGTAATTACCGCCACCTACCGGTAAGAGCCGGGAATGTACTTCCAGCCTCGACGAAAGGGACTTTATACCAATTACAGCACCCATACTTAACATACTCTGCGGCTGCACTCATTTGAACACAAAAACACGGTGAACCACATTCATTTTTTCCGCATTATCAAACTACTGCTGCTGCTTCACATCAAGTGGGAACAACAGACAACAGCGCCCCCTGTCTGCACGTATGAACCGCCCTCCCTGCATCGAGCTGGGAATAAAAAGCTCCATCATCCTCCTGCGATACGAGCATCGTTTTTGGCGGAGCTAGGGCATCTTCCCAACCCCCCCCCTCCCCAACCGACACCCATGACTACCGACTAGGGTCGCTGGTTAACGGACAAACAGAGGGATATAAGGACAGTAACATGGCGAAACACCGCAAAGACAGAGACAGCTGGGGTGAGTGTACGTACAGCATTTGATATTTCATGCTTTCCTTGACGCACATTTTTTTATTCCTGTCGAGGCGAGGGTGTAAGCAATGCAGCCACTTACATGTTTATCCTACACTCCACCATTAAAGGCTTGTTTTCCTCTCGACAAAAAAAATGTGTGTATTTATTGTGATGCTAATATTAATATTAGTAATATTACCGGTGGTGAGAAATACACCGTTTTTTCTCTCGTTTGTCACTGCTTGGATATCGGTCAATCAAACCTATGCGAAAAGGCATTTAAAGACGTGTTATCCCATTAATACCTGTGGTGAAAGATGTAAAGCATACAGGGGATACTCTGTTGGGGCGGTTCAGGCCCCAAAAAAGGCCCGAGAATAACCTTCTGCTTTTTATTGTGTTTATCACACTGAGCCTCTTATGGTGGTCTATGGGTGGCATCTGGCATCAAATGATGTAATAATGCATCAGTAAACAGCTTGTCACAATTCTCATCACCACCATCTTTTGAACTTATAATTACTGCTATGATCATGATCACCTCCACCACTATGATTATGATGATAACCAGCATCCTAATTGTCACTGGCATCCCTCTATGGCCCATGTTAACTTTAAAATACAGGCCTGCAAGGGAGGGAGGAGGGAGGGAATGACTGTATCAAGGTTGAGGGGGAAAAAAAATGCTGCTGTGTGTCATTTGAGAGTTTATCTGCTCTGACCCACTTTGAGCAGACAGTGCTTCTGACGTCTTCGGTTGTTTTGAGGGCAGCAGCAACATGATCAGGTTAACCGTGCAGGCTTGTGCCGGGCCCCGGCCGAGGCCTTTCTGCAGGAGACTGTGAAGTCAGACTGACAGCCCTCTTCAGGCCTGAGAGGAAACCTTGGATGATTCCTCCTTAAATTATTCACCGTGCATTCTTGGCACCACTGCATAAATCTTTTAGCAGGCCCCCAAAATTATTTCCCCACTACTCCTTAATCTGTCACACTGCTTTTGTGCGACTTGCACGCTTAATTTGCAATTACATCCTTTAAAATTCACTATCACAGCCGCAACAGATCGGAGAGAGCGATGTTGTGTGAGGATTTATGTCTCCTGCAGAATGTACATTATCAGGCACAAGTTTGTTGTGGCGTGAAAAGCGTACGTTACACTGACGGGGATTTTGGAAGCTAAAAGCTCTGCATCAGGAGGGTCATGCAGCCTCGCACGCTCTACATGAGACAGCAGTGATTGGAAACACACTGAGTCACTGCCTGGAAAGTTCCGGAAAAAAGCTCTGAATGCACATGATCTCACTGGATGCAAACAGATGGGATGGATAGCATGGCGTGATTCATTATTAGTATTAACAAGCTTTCAGGCGATGATATTGATCTAGGGCTAACAGGAAGGAATAATGGACTCAACCTTCCTGTTGGCTCGCCTAATGGACCACTGAGTTTGACTCTCGCTGCTGTGAATAAGTTCTGTTCACTCACTCACATAACAGCATTTGAGTTGACTTTCCAGAGCCAATCACAAGTAGTTATGTAGACAAATATCAGCAGGCAAAATACTTCTAATCTTTATGCATGAAAACATGTTAAAGGTATAAAATATGTTTAATTTTCCCCTCTTCTCCAGAGCACTCGACATTAGTTAAATCTCCCCCCCCCCCTTTGTCTTGTCCTCCAGGGTCCCTCAGTGACAAAAATGTCTATGACTGGAGCTCGGAGGAGGAGGAGCCGGACGGACGAGCCCGGCCCGTGCAGGTGCTGCTGGTCAAAGATGACCACACCTTCGAGCTGGATGAGGCGGCGCTGAGCCGCATCCTGCTGGCGGAGGAGGTCCGAGACCGCGAGGTGGTGGCCATCTCTGTGGCCGGAGCTTTCCGCAAGGGCAAGTCCTTCCTCATGGACTTCATGCTGCGTTACATGTACAACCATGTAAGTATCTGGGTCTGTGCAGGTGATGATTTTGGATCTGAAGTGTGACTCTAACTTTTTTTTTTCTGCTGATCGAAGGTAAACTTAGAAATGTGATGACTGCAGTTTGACTTTTGTATATTGGGATATATGGGGGAAGCAGAACCAGAAATTTTCTACTGAGGCTGCCAATAGCTGATATTTTGCTGATATTCTATTTTCATGGTAAAGATAATATTTCTTCTCTTAGAGTAATTTAGCCCATTATTAGATATTTAATAACAGGATGCAGTACATACATGAAAGAAAAAGAGGAATGAAATATAAATACAATCTGGTTTTAGACTCCATTGCTGAAGTTAAGGGGATGTCCATTATATTATTGGTGCATGCATGTATTCTAGTGTATACTTTTTCATTTTGATTCTTAAATATTGTGACAGCTACATAAACAATGTAGATTCAGTACAAACAAAAGCAGCAGACCACCTACTGACCAAATAGCCCTCATTTAATTAAAAACAGTATGAGATATTTGAACCGTTGAACCAACCCTTCTGATCCCGTTGCGCTCAGGCTTCTGAAACCTGGCTCGGAGATGCAGACGCGCCTCTGACCGGCTTCTCCTGGAGGGGGGGCTCGGAGAGGGAGACCACTGGGATCCAGATCTGGAGTGAGGTCTTCCTGGTGGACAAACCAGACGGAAGAAAGGTGAATTCTGGGACTGTAGACCCTTCTGTAGACTATTTCAATGCAACCAGGGACAATGTAACATAATTAAATATGACACAGATACTTTATTAACTTGGGCTGGTGGAAGCCTTAACTTGCTTTGCGTAGGATGCAGCATTGGTATATATTACTGTACAAAGCCTTTCTGGGCAGATTACCAATGTGCTCTAAGTTTGTATTTGTACATATTACTTACACTCTTACATCCAACAGTAGGCTCGGCTTAAAGGTGCCAACAGTCGGGAAAAAGGAGTATTTTACTATGATCCTCGGTCTTGGAATGACCTGCAGTTTAGACTCAATCTAACCTCCTTCTGTCAATTAATTTCTTTGTTTTATGTGTGGAAATAAGCTTTTATCCTGTATTGTAATCTTTTGTTTTGTAATATTTTGTATGAATGTAAGTGGCAAGCGCTTGAGGTAAAGCTTCGCTGCTTTCTTGGCCAGGACACCACTGACAAAGAGATTTTATGTCAACAGGTTAAATTAAAAAAAAAGCATTTTTTGGCATTTAAAAACCACTGGATGCTTTTATGCCTGCGTCTCTCATCTTTAGTTGTGACAGAAGGTAGCAGTAAAACAAGCAAAAAGCCAGGGTGCTACTGGTTGTCAGCTTCAAATCTGATTTATTGTACTTATGTTATTTTTGGGCCATTTTAAGATCTTTTATTTATTTAAATCTTCATTCAAAACCAAACCAACTAGCTGTTGAGCTCAGAGGTTCCTCCCTTCATTTTCAACACCCTAATCCCCCTCACAAAGGAAGCATGCTACAGACTACCTTGCAGCAGAGGTCAGTTTCTATGTCTGTTTCATTACACAGGTCGCTGTATTGCTAATGGACACCCAAGGCACGTTTGACAGCCAGTCGACGCTGAGGGATTCAGCCACTGTGTTCGCACTGAGCACCATGATAAGCTCCATGCAGGTACAGTGACTTTCACCCTTCTGACCCTTTACTTTAGTTATTAGCATATTTATGTAAATGAATGAATGGATAAAGGTTTGCATTTTCAGCCATGGTCGGCCTGCACACCACTGCGGTTCAAACTATAAATATATCAACACTTTTGGATGGATTGAAGTTAATTTAATGCAGTTGGTGACATTCATGGTTCCCACACATTGAATCCTAATAGGTTTGGTGATCCCCTGACATTTCCTCTAGCCCCACCACGAGGTTGACATTTGTAGTTTTGAGTGAAATATCTCTATTAGATGGATTCCCATGAACTTTGGCACACATTCATGTCCCCCTTTAGGGTGAATTGTATTCACTTTGGTAATTCCTTTATTTTACACCTACCACCATCATCAGGTTAAAATTAGTTACTAAAATACTTTGGTTTATGACCAAATACCAGCTTTTTCACCGTTACTTGACAAATTTAAACATTATACCTGCTAAACATCAGCATGTCAGCATTGCCAGTGTGAGTATGTTAGCATGCTGATGTTAGCATTTAGCTCAAAAGACAAACAAAGCACAGCATCACAGGGCTGCTAGCATTACTTAAGATCAGGGGTCTCCAACTCAAATTAGCTTGGGGCCACAGCTTGTATTGTCATAGGAGGGCCACTGCAACATTGAAGTACTACAAGAAAGTGCAATATTTAGAAAGTATTTCCATTACTTGTACACTTGTACATTGTACATAACAAAAAAATGCAAACAGCAGTTTCTTCACATTTTAGGATAATTGTTTAATATCATCTTTGTTGCAACAACAAATGAAGACTAGAAACATAAGATTATATTATATTTATTACATCCTGTCGGAGGGATGGGGGGCGAAGGGCAGTTTGAGACCCCTCCTTGTGACATTTAGTCTTGTTTTATTCTTTGACAGTTGTGTTTCTTTGTTTTTACACCAGACTGACTTTATTAAATAGATGCACTACATACTTCCATTAAATGTGAATGAATGGCCTTTTTCAGGTTTACAACATCTCACAGAATGTACAAGAGGACGACCTTCAGCATTTGCAGGTAACACCGTCAAGTGTCAACACTACTAATGCATAACTGAGAGCTAAAAGAGCAAGAGAGGTCCAGGTTTAAAACCTATTGCCAGTTGTAAATATCATTTTAACATTTTATTCAAATGACTATGGTTCTTAATCCCAACATTTCACATCCTCCCTGATTTCGTCTCATCCATCTTATTTCAGCTTTTCACCGAGTACGGCAGACTAGCTATGGAGGAGACTTTCCTTAAACCATTCCAGGTACTGTATATCATTTTCACATGCTGGAAGGATTTGCAGCAGTGTGCTGATTACATCCAAATGTCAGCAAATGACATTTAAAAATTATTACTGGTCGTTTTTTCTAAGCATCTTGAAATATTGGACTGAGGTTACGTAAGGAAGTTTAGTGAGAAATGGAAAGTTCGAATCGAAAGGATTTGAAAGTGAACAACTGTCAGGTGTTCAAACTGACCATATATGTACAGTATCAGATATCATTACTAAGATTTTAATGGTAGCTTTTTTTTTTGTAAGTCCATGATTTTCCTCGTTCGAGACTGGAGCTTTCCGTATGAGTTTCCCTACGGACAGGAAGGAGGCATGAAGTTCCTCGAGAAGAGGCTGAAGGTCAGTTGTCGTTGTTATTTCAGCTTTCTCTGCTGTGATGTTGAATGTCTCACGGATAACGTACATTAAACGTATATTTGTGGTGTAGATCTCAGAGAACCAGCATGAAGAGCTGCAGAACGTGCGTAAACACATCCACTCCTGCTTCACCAACATCTCCTGTTTCCTGATGCCTCACCCTGGCCTCAAAGTTGCCACCAACCCACACTTTGATGGGAGAATTACAGGTACACTTCCTCTGTCTCACATTTTATCCAGTCTTTCATAAATAGAATTGTTTCTTGTCAAAAGTTTCTGATCTTGAGTGAAAATCAGGTTTGAAATGGAGGCATTTAAAGGACCAGTGTGTAGAATTTAGTGGCATTTAGCGGTAAAGTTGCAGATTGCAACCAACTGAATACCGCTCGCTGCTTTTCAATACACAGGATTTACAGAATATAAACTACATAAAACTATTTTAGTAACACTAGAGATGGCAATGTGTGTCTGCCACTTTGGCAGAGCAAATGTTAGCATGCAAATATTCTGAGCTAAACATTACCTGCTAATCATTAGCATGTGAGCATGGCTGTAGACTCGATAGAAAGTAAATTCGAAGAAATTTGAATGAGGTCAGTTAGGGAATAAGTGAGTGGAGGTAGTACACAAATGTGCTCTTCAAATCAACTTACTAAAATGTATGAATAATGTGTAAGAAATAAAAATAAATGTATGGAATTGTATGAATGCAGTATGGTTCAGACTCAACAGGTTGCAAAATATAACTCATCACATACATATATCTACATATCTAAACAACTACTTGAATTTTAGAGGTGAAACAAGTATAAATACACAACCACACAGCCGGTGCAGGGTTGAGTCTGTATGAATTGTGCAGGAGCAGGTGGTGCACTGGAGCTTTTGAGAAACAGCACCCGGGGGAGAACAAGCTGTTGTGCGTCTGACTGTTCGCTGCTCTGAATTGCTGATCTTTCCCATTTATTTCTTGGACTACCACCAGAAACTGAATATAACAGAGCAAACACTGTTGAATTTCAGCACAGACTGTACACACTCACCAGCCGTTGCCTCTCCTCCCCGTCTAGAGATTGATGGCGATTTCTTGAACAACCTGAAGGTTCTGGTCCCGTGGCTTCTCAGTCCTCGTAACATCGACGTGAAGGAGATCAACGGCAGCAAAATCACCTGCAGAGGACTGCTGGAATACTTCAAGGTCAGAACAAAGGACCGTGTTAACATGAAACACAACACTGTACCTTACAATACATTACAATATAATATAATAATATAAGTATTGTCCTTTTATTCTGTATATTAGTAACTGTTAAACTCAATTGTGACTAAATCCAACATATTTATATTATTTGATGATTAACCAGTTCTGTTACTTTAAACGTTTGTTGTCATTCTTTTGTTTATTTCAGGCGTACATCAAAATCTACCAAGGTGAGGAGCTGCCACATCCAAAATCCATGCTGCAGGTACTTTTTTTGTCTTTACCTTTATTACTTTTGTGTTAGAGCACTTTAAAGTTACAGTTTATGTTGGGTATATATGGTATTATGTACCCTAAATTTGGAGTTTATTTGTATACAGTATATTAATGTTATCTGAAATGCACCAACACACTGAGAGAAGAAGTAGCTCTCAGTAATGCCAACTAGAACTGATGATGTATATGTTAAATAATTTGACATATAAAGATTATTTAACCTATATGTTCTTTAAAATGTTATTTGTTTAAGAAAGCCGACTTCTAATTACTTTTGCATTATAATTGCTGCACAGTCCACATAGAATATTGGTTGGGCTCTACGATATATGTTTATTATTTAAACAGTATTCTAGTTTTTTGGATTTTTGCTAATCTAAGCATCTGTTCTTGTACTTCTGCTGCTATTTTCCTGTGTAGGATCGATAAAGTTAATCTTATATTGTCCTATCTTATATTACCTATTAATAAATAACAATTATCTTGAATAAATGATCACTATAATTTCTTTTGCATCCTCTCAGGCCACAGCAGAGGCGAATAATTTGGCAGCAGTAGCTGCTGCAAAGGATCTGTACAACAAGAAAATGGAGGAGGTGCGTGAAAACTTAAACAGGATTTTGAAATAAATCCCAAACTGTCAACTGCAGTCTAATCCCTCCTCCCTCTTTTTCTTCTTCTTCTTCTGCTTCGTCATTGTGTTTCCAGGTCTGTGGGGGTGACCGGCCCTTCCTAGCCCCCAGCGAGCTGCAGGCCCGACACAGCGCCATCAGAGAGGAGGCCCTGCAGGTGTTTCGGGGTGTGAAGAAGATGGGAGGCGAGGAGTTCAGCCGCCGCTACCTGCAGCAGCTGGAGGGAGAAATCGACGAGGTGTTTGTCCAGTACATCAAGCACAATGACTCCAAGAACATTTTCCACGCAGCCCGCACGCCGGCCACTCTGTTCGTGGTCATCTTTGTCATGTACGTGGCTGCGGGCATCACAGGCTTTGTGGGCGTGGACATCATTGCCAGCCTGTGTAACATGATCCTGGGTCTGGCACTGATCACTCTCTGCACCTGGGCCTACATCCGGTACTCCGGGGAATATCGAGAACTCGGCGCCGTCATCGACCAGGTGGCTGGTGCACTGTGGGACCAGGTAATTCAATGAACGATATAAACAATAATGAAGTCGAGAACAAATCCGTCCATCTGTCTAACTTAATCAATATTTGAATCAAGTTCAAGTTCGCTTTATTAATAATGCAAAATCACAAGCAGGAGTCTTTGCACACTGTACCGAAAACAAAAAAAACTGTGTATGTAGACAAGTCCACATACAGATGCACACAATGTACAGATTAAGTTACATTTTCCCTCTCAAATGTTGTATTTGAGAATAAGTATCCATTTACAACGCGGTCTTCAGACACCAAAACATGGAAATGAACCAAAATATTAGCAGAAATTAACACATCAACAGCAAAAAGAAGTTTACAGTTAACTGCACAACATGTAAAACTAAGAAGAGCCTCAGGTCTTGTACAAATAGTGGTGCCAATCTGTGAAGAGTGAAGAATTTATCTTATATGGTGAAACATTTTTATAATTTTAAAAGAAGACTGTAGCACACAATCTATTCTACATGTATGGCTGTACACTTATTTCATTATTGATCAATAGATTAGTCTATATATTGTCACAATAAATAGATTTCTTCAGGTTGTTTGTTTTGGCTAAAAATCAACAGTCCCAAACCCAAATGTCGCTTTATAACAATATAAAACAAAAATCCTCACATTTGAACAGCTAAAACTTGTAAATCTTTGGCATTTCTATTGATAAATGATCATTTTCTGCTAATCGGGTAATTTATTAATAAACTAATCCTTTCAGTTCTTTCTAGATGTTATAAATAAATTGGATTTCAGTATTGTCCCATCTGAAAATGGAACAAATTATGTCTATTTACCACTGAAAACAGATTTACTCACAATGGATGAAGAGGAATCAAAAACTGTTTGACTTTAAGGTCACTTTCATCATTGTCTATTCTGAATACTTTCTCAGTTAATCAATTTCCCAAATACTAATTCAAATTACTTGATTGAGTCCAAATTCCAAATAAATTGCTGTGTATTTTAGCCATTTTTGTTAAGTTGAGGCCGTTTAATTTTATAGGAACTGACTAATCGATTAATCAACTAAACCAGAATGCACCAGGTACAGTAGAGACAAATACTAGTACACAACTTTATACACAATATAGGTGACGCAGTATCTTTAAACCACTAGAGGGCATCAATCTCCTTTAAATCAGTGGCAGAGAGAATGAATCCAGATCATCACAGCAATAATGAACATGCTTTATGTCATATACTGTATGGATATATGTGCTCACACTTTATATATGTTTTTCTTTTTAATGCCGCTGCAGGGAAGCACAAATGAGGTAAGTGGATCCAAGTGTGAATGTTTACAAAGGCAGGGACAGCAAGAGCGTTTTTTAGGGAGTGTGTTGATGGGCTCAAGTTTCCTCAAAATGATTACGTTCATAAAAATAGTTACCTCCGTATAATTTAATGATAATGACAAGGTCATGTCACGCCCTGCGCTGCTGAAACGCAGCCTGCTGTTCACTGTTGGTGTTCAGTAGGAGACTTTGGACAGCAGAGGGGGACAGGTGACCTTAAATTATTCTTCTTCTTCTATTCAGATTCGTTCATGCTGTCATACCAAATACATGCAACCAATTATTTTGACAGTATGACAGTAGCTAAATAGAATATAGTATATTAACCTTTATTCATTTAGATCCTCACAGCAATATAGGCAAACATATGCAAATATGTTGAACTTTGTGTCACTTTATTGGCTATTTTCATCACCATTACCCATCCACATAGCTCCTAAAATTGCTCATCTGCATCCCTACCCTGACATTATCTTAAGTGATCTTTGGGAGTTAAATTCTCCGCCTGTAAACACGTCTCCCGTCTCCGCTCCGCAGGCTCTCTACAAGCTGTACAATGTAGCGGCCAATCACAGGCACCTGTACCACCACGCCTTCCCTGGGCACCAGGTGGATGAGGTTGCCGAGGAGCAGGACAAGAAGAGGGACTGATTAGATAAGACAGAGTACAGCAGGGACTTCCTGGTGATGGACAAGAGGAAGAGGAGGAGGAGGAACATCCTCACTCATCAGGCACTCTTTTATTCTGGTATTGGCTGATGCTGCCCACCAATACATCCACTACTTTAAACCTAATAATGGACTGTATAATGTTCACGTATAGGCAATGTCAGAGCATCTCCTCAGCGGGTGCTTGCTTTCAAGCGATGGATGCCATTTATCATTGTCTCTCACTTTTTTTGTCTGTGGAAAAAAAAAAATAGCACCTGTACAGATACTGTAGGCACTCTGCCAGAGGAGACCTCGGCATATCCAACCTCCAGTCAGCTGTTGATTTTATATCAGACGGGTTTTTTTCTTTTCCATCATTTGTCACCGACAATGATTTTTCGAAGTATAGCCAAATCTGTGAAATTCCCATTTGTGACGATCGTTCTGTTCTTTGAAGTTTAGTGCTGTTTATAAGAAACAATATCTATGATCTGCGATGTTTGAAAGCCAAAATATGTACTGTATGTTAAATAATGAAGCGTTACAAGCATCATCAGCATGGTAAATGGTCAATGTCTGTCATCTTTAAGCTCTAAAACCAGGTATACTTTATAAAAAATTTAGTTTTAATGGTTGTGACAAAGTGGTATTGTGCCATAACATGTAAAAAAAAAAAAAAAATGATTTCACATCTACTGCAGCCTGGCTACATGCAGACACTCGATGGCACATTTATTAGTTGTATGCAGTATGTTTTGTTTTGGAGGTTGGTGTTACTTTTCTGGATCAGGGAGTTGCTTTGTGCTGACATATTCTTTCAAATAGGAGCACTGGGTGGAAAGGCAAAAACAGATCAAAGTTTACACAACATAGCTGACATTATCTTTCACTTTGTAGTCCGCTTGCAGTTTTGTAATTTACGCAGCGTCCCAGTGATCCTCTATATATGTGTTTGGTCTTTGAGGTTGAGGGGAAAGAGTGTGTTTGGTTTCCATTGTGATGTAGAGGTGGTGGGTGAAACCATTGTTGTGTTTTTCTCTCTGAATGTTCGAGCAAATCCGAGGAATGTAGCTATTCTGTGGCCACTGAGGAATCAAAGCTAGTTGTTATTAGGCGGGGCGACAGGCCCGCTTTGGAAAAGAATCCTCATTCCACATCTCTTTCATCATCTTCACACACTTAAGTTGAATCATCTGTAACAAAAAAAAGAAAAGAAAAGAAATGAAACTGTTGCATGGTGAAAGAGGCCAGGCCCAGACTTTTTGTGTTCCCCAAAAACAGCTTGCATTGTAAACAAAAGGCTTGTATTGGTGACAGCACTTTTTGGTGTTTGAATACTTTGGCTTAGTAGACTGTTACTGTACATTTGTATAACTGTGGTCATTGTTTTTAGCTCATTGAATAACCCCCAATCATAGATCTCACTGTAATACTGTCTGCATCACTTACAGCTGCAGCACTGAACTGTTTTCTTTCCATGTAGATCTGGTCACCAACAGTACAGGAACACTGTCATGCATATTTAGCAAGTTTATACTGAGGTTTGACCTCAAGGGTTGAAAATTTAAAGGCACTGCAGCAGAGTGGCTTCTTGAGTCTTCCACAATGTATAATCAACATCAGTGAGGCCTTCACACAAAGATCCATCTAAGTCCAGTTTAAGATTCGTGAGGTTTTCAAATCCCATTTTCTTGTGTGTGTTGAAGCGCCCATTCATAAGTCAAAAAAGTAGCATTTGTTTACATTGTGTTGCGTTTACACTCCAAATTAAATAATAATTGAAGATTTAATCTGTTTAAAAAGAACGGAAAGATTGATCAGAGTTTGTTATTCTTGGATTTGACAATTCATTCCTAAAGCCGCCTCCATCAACACTTAAATCAACTCCGGATGTCGTGGGAGCCTCAGTCAAATGAATCATCCTCTTCCAAGTCAACACTGCTAAGTTTCAGCACACGCATTGCAAAATTTCAGTTACAAGGAAATAAATAATAAAGTTGGACCAAATTAATGAAAACTAGACTTTTTTTCTTTCTTTAAGACATAAAAAATACTCTGTCTTAATTTGTGTCTTATATATTCATACGTTTTCCACAAACATTTTTACTCTTTCTCCCTCATTCAAAAATCCACAAATTATGAATATGCAAATAATTCTTTGTTTTAAAAGTTTAACTGCTGGACACAAGATGTCTCCTACTTCACTGAAAAGTATATTCTCAGTGTCTGTGCACGGCAGGCTTCATGTTTTCACATCACACTTGTATAAGTTGCGTACTGGATCACGATTGGTTTCCAAACTAGTTCAAATCATTTTGTATGCACAAGTCTCACACTCAGATTTAAGGTGAGATCAGGGAGTCGTGTTTCCAATATTCACTCTCTTTTAGCTCTATTTTTGGTCTCTACCAACTCCTGAGAGAAATATCTGGCTCTTTAGCTTCCAAATGCTCCCCTATGTTCACCAGCTAGTCTCTAAATGTATCTATCTGCTGTTTGGTGCTGAGCAGGTAGTGTACGGTGGGATTTTAGAGCCAAAAATGACACAACGAGAGCGGTGAGAGTAAACCAAAACAGCAGTTGTGGCGCAGAACGTCCTCTAGAAAAGCTCAGGGAAGCATCTCTCTTTAATGAAGGTGGAGCGTTTAACCAGACATACATTAACCAAACCAAGCAGTTAGTTTTCATCCTTTAAAGGTCCAGTGCGTTACATTTAGGAGGATCTATTGGCAGGTATGTTTTCAATAGTGTATAATAATCACCTGAATATTGAATATAGGAATTGTTCTGCTGTTGTTACCTTAGATTGAGCCATTTTTATCTATAGACGCAGTGGGTCTCCGTCTATGAAGGCCGCCATGATGAACCACCATGTTTCTACAGTAGCCCAGAACAGACAAACCATTCACTGGCTTTAGATACGGCCTCTCGCTGTTTTCACGAATTTCGCAGCCACCGTAGTTTCTCCTACACACTTCACAGCCCTCATTTTCATCCTCAGATCATCGAATACTAACACAAGAAGCGTTCACTAAATCCTACATACTGGTCCTTTATGTCTTTTCTACTGTCAAACTTAAAAATATTGTTCAAAATCACTTCACATAAAACACAAATCTCAAAACCTTTGTGTCGAAGTTTGTTTTCGAGTGTGGAACAGTGACCTTGGTGGCCGTTGGGGAAAAAAAAAAAAAACACCCACTGCGACCAGTATAGTACCAGTGTTTTCCACCTTCTGCCCTCGGGGGGCAGTTAATGAGCCCATTACGGCTTTGCTTACCACAATGAGGTGATGAAGACACTGCACTAGAAAATGTATTTGGTCAAGCAACATAACGGTGAGATTTATACTTTATTGGAAGTGTTTTCAAATGGTGTTTTGTGGTTTTATAACAGAAAAGAAGACTCACTTAGTGGTTTGGTAAATGTATATCTGGTCCCATCCCTGTTAGGAGTGCAGCACACAGCCGCCTACCTGAACCTTCTCAGAGGACCTTCCAGGATCACACACAGTGGATAGGACAGTCCTGGACAGGGCTAGATGAGCTACATTAATACATTATTATAGAAATATCTTTTATAGCAGCTTTAATCATTTTACACCCGGATAATTCTGTTTCAAGCTCCGTGTGAAAGTGAGAGGCAAGTACAGTCACTGAGTGTATTTTTCTTCACTGCAGACTTTATTGCTTATGTCCTGTATTTGCAATCCACAAAATCACATATGTACAAACTGATGGCACCATTTTGAAAAGCTGTGATTGAGACCGTCTTGCATAGTGAAGGACTCATCGAAGAGAGGTTCTTAAACTTTACTCCACTGTTAGCTAATCAGGCAACCTTTGAGGACATTCAGAAATGCTAATGTAATCACTCTCATATACAAGTCCTATTAAACACTTAATTTTTGTTTTCATTTTAGATTTGGAAAGTAATAGTGTCATAAAACATTTGTCTTTTTTCACCTTAGTGAGTAAATTAATCAGAAGCCATCACCAGTCTCTGCTGGACAAAACCTCCAGCACAAACACATTTCTGAGTATCTTAAGCTGACTGATTAGTGATCAATAGAATATGCTTCAGAGAACCTGCACTTCTTCCACAGAAAATACGCATCAGTCCATCAAAAATAAGGCATTACCAAGGCAAGAAATATCCAGAAAGAATGAAACAAGGAGAGGTTGAATTGCACTTGTTTGGCATACTTAATGTGTCTTCTGAAGTGTTTTAAAGTTCCAGTAGCTTATTTATGTTTCATTATACACACACACACACACAAGAATATTCCTGACTTACAGTAATGCCAAGAGCCAAGAGATGCTCAAACCAGCGCATCAAATGTGATGCTTCATCCAACAAAGGTCTTTAAATAAAGACGTGTTTCATATCAAAACTTAAATATCTGTGAACGTTTTGGTGGATTGTCTTATAAAGGATATGTCATTAAAAAAAAAGAAAGAAGAAAAATGCACACTTTCTTTGTTTAATGTAAAGAGTGTGGTTTCGGTTTGTGAGGCTAACAAAGCAAAAGGAAAGAAAAAGTCATGAAGTATTTCAAACAGAAACAAATTAGAAGAAGCTGCCGGCCATTTTCTCCCACAGGAAAATATGACGGAGTAGCTGGTGTATACAAGACATGAGCAGACATTGTAAAAATGCTGCGCTTTATTTCATTAAAAAGGCACAATCTCAGGATGTTTTTGAACAAATATCCATAGTTTTCCGGACTCTGTTCCCCCTTAGTCTTAAAAACAGAAATCCATACAGCAATTCAGTTCTCAGGGCAGTGGCTGGAAATGGCACCACAGCCGTCTCCCCAGATGTAGTACATTATAGGTTCTTTTTCTTCATTGGAGTGTTTTTTTTTTTTCAGTCACATGGTCATTCATAAATTGAGTGTCACATGGAGGAGGGGGAGAGGAGGCCCCCCGCCAATGTGTGTCTTGACTTCCTGGCTGATATATTTGGATCAAGCGAAGGCACAGATGTGTTTGGTAAAGAGGCAATTAAGAGTCAATCATGATTTCAAAGAAAACCCTGACCGCTCCCAAACTGTGGAAACCTCAGAGAGGTGTGGCAGCGAGACGTCCCTGCTGCACATACACATCACATGTTCCCTATGAAGTTCTTGTTGGGCTGCTGGGCGTACCACTGCTGCCGCTGTTTGCGGGCCTCCACCTCCGACAGCAACGCCTGCCGGTACGCCTCGTAGGATTTGACGATGTGTTCCAGCTCCTTCATGAAGAGCAGCTTCAGCATGCCCTGATACGTGTCTAAGTCTGCCAGCTGGAACAACTCCCACTTCAAGATGTGGTCATACCTGATGAAAGGGAAGATATTCATAGTACCTTAAAAAAGGTACATTGCAAAGTGTTGGAGGAGAATGGTGCTGCGGAGCACTGTTTTGATGACTGGGTCTCTGTATTATCTGTACTTCTCATTCTCTCATTCTACTAACAATCGTTTCTAGATTGGAAAAAATCCAATAAAGATATATCAGGCAGTAGTAATATCTTTAAATAGAAACAATCTTGCTACAGATCTCTTAAATTGGTTCTTTTTCCATGGTGACACAGCATGACCTCTTACAGTTGAAATATAAACTTATCAGTGCTCTCTGGTGGAAAAACTGCATGTAATGGTGACACTGTTTCTAAATGAGCTCAAACCTAGTTTGACTAACTTTGAAACGCTGTACTGCAATTTCTGGTAAAGTCATGAGATGACATACCATATACGACAATGACATACATTTGTAATGAGCTAATCTGCTGCCCTGCTGTACTACCGAAACCTTAGTAAAAACTGTAATGGGCATCTTTTCCACAATCTAGCTGTTTAGAGACCAAAGGAGAAAATAACTGGGAGACTATTCAATCATGGAAATGACTTAGGATTGCTGCTATAATATATATATATATATATATAATAATAATAATAATAATAATAATAGTACTCACTTAAGTGGGGCACGGGCATACACCTGCAACCAGTCTGGGATCTCAGCTGTGTGGTACGGGTTAGCTGGCACCAGCACGGGCTGGTTCCTCTCTGCAGGGCGTGGCTGATAGGTCACAGGAGGAGGTAATGGTGGAGGCTGATCATAGCGAGGCACACTGGAACACACAGAGGTGATATAATATTTATACCTTATTTCATCTGGGTCAAACCAGTTTGGACAATTTAAAAGACTGACAATAAAAAAACAAAGTGCTTAAAGTAAGTGGAAGTGAAAAAATGCAGCTTTACAAAATACTAAATCTTGATGAGGTACCTTGGAGCACAGGGGTGGCGATACTGTGCCCTCTTGTTGATGTGATCCACGTAGTAGACCCCAAACTCAGCAGACTCCACCTTCTCCCAGCCCGGAGGGAGCCCTTCCCTCTCCAGAGGGTGGCTCCAGTGTGTAGTGTTAGTGTTGTGGTCAATGTAGTACTTCCTGCCACGGATGGTCCAGTCAACGGTCCAACCGCCAGGAAGGGGGAGGTCCTCTCCCGTTAGACTGGAGAGGTTCCCAAGGGACTTGGCCTGTATTCGACCTATGCCTGAGGAAAACAAACATTTCTTTTTAGAAACCTAGAGGGAGAGGGAGAGATGTCTGACCAAACATACAGCAGAGCAGCTGCCAGCAAACAGCGCCTCTGGGACAGAAAATATATTTGGGGAAATTTCTTGAAAACAACATGTGTGGGAAAATGTCATTTAAAGAGGAGGAACATCCAACATTTAAAAAAAGGTCACTCTGATGTGACAGCTGAGGACAGAGTGGGATAAGGGAGGAACCAAATGAACTTATGAATCCCTTTGACTCTGTGACGGAGCATCTCACTCTGACCGACATCATTTGATGAATGGTAGGAAATGGGAGTGTCGTTACGTTTGGACAGGAAGGCAGAGATCTCTTCATGGCCAGACATACACACAGGAGCTTTCACCGGAAGAGAACAAACCACTGAACTCCCAAACACTCTGTACGAGCAGACAGCAGAGCGGATTCATTCAACAGGTCCTGTGCTTTTTATTGGCAAATAATGTCAGTGAGGAATGTAGAGCCGACAGCTGCGTGGATGAGTTAGACTGAACGAGAACTGTCATGAATCAAAACCAATGAGCCTGGAGGGCCTCAGAAAGGCTCCAAACCGCCGGGGAACGTGCGGAGAACCAAGTATCTCAGCAAAATGGCGGCTACAATCTGATAAATTCTGCACGAGAGTGACAGCAACAGAGCTGGAGCTCTTTGCCAGCTGCTGAGTGAAGGGACGGAATGTGCGAGCGCTCCACAGAAATGCACTCCTCCTCCTCCTCCTCCACCTCATCATCATCATCATCTCTGCCCTTTTCCTCAGAAAAATGGCAGAGAGCCATACTCGCTGCAGACCTAAAGCTCAATGCATCACAAGAATTTCTGGATAATTATCAAGAGCAGACTACAATGGTGATTCAGTAGTTGTACTGAAGGAATGAGATGGGTAACTGAATTGAGTGATCAACAAAATATGAAACAGAAAAATTTGACAACACAAATGACAAATTATTCATCATTTATATTGTTTGCATTTCCCTGCATCTAAAAGTTGCAGGGATTTCTGCTCCAGGATGTTATTCCACAGACAGGGAACTTCTGCAATGTTTTAAAACAATGCTTCCAGAAATAGAAAGTAAAATGATCAGGAGACAAATGAGCTGCTAATCATGTGTTAAATGCTTATGAAAAGAACAAATGGTTAAACTACAGTGTTGGCACTGCATAGAACACAGTTTTAACCTATATTTGTACATTGATTATTAGCCAATGTTCAATTTTTACACTGCAAAAATAACACTGTCAGCTAATTGTAGGTAGACGACTCCTCCAAAACATCTCTGCAATGTAACTACACAGTGTGCCTTACCTCTGTACACAGATGATTCATAGAAGCGAGCAGTCTGAGGCTGAGACATTTGACTGCGGGCGGTCTGCAAATTGCTAGTTTGCCGGCAGAAAGATTCAGCAAACAGAGAGGTGAAAAATGCAGAGCCCCTAATGCTTGTTAAACTTCACTCTAAACAAGGCTCCATGATATGTGATAGGCGGGCCTGACAAAATACTAAACCATATACACGACGTTGACAAGCCAGCCACAAAATAAAAGGCTTTCTATCGTTTGGAGTCGGCTGAAAAATTCCTGCGATCCCCCTAAAACATTTAATCTCATGGAAATTACACACATCATAACAATGTTTACAATGTGGAGCAGTAAAACCGAAAAGAAATGACTCTTTTGAGCTCGTCAGAGACAACAAACGGCTTGCATTCCTTTCAGAGTGGCCTATGTGACCCAT